AAACATTACAAAATCTCTATGCTTTACTTCTGAACCCAGAAAAAGAAGTAGAGAGTTTTTAGAGATTAAAAATAGGTGATGAATCTTAAAGATTTGGTGTGTGTATTATACAATAATGTTGTGTGATTGAAATCCATTTCTATTAAACACCAACAAAGGCTGATTTCTGCAAGAAGAAAGATCCAAAAGTGCTTCTTTGCTTCTGAACCAAAATGAAGACCAGGAATTTGGTGTTTGATGTTTGTGTTACTGTTATAGCTCCTATTGTTCTCTATACTGATAGATTCTTGCCTCTTTCAAGGCTTCTTCTTATATTTCTCTTCTCTTCGTGAATTAATTTTTTCCTATCTCAATTTCATACCTTGTTTTCTTCTTCCTCAATTAACATTTTTCTGGGTTTGTTTCGTTTTTGCAGCTAGAAACCAATTTCTTGAGATCTTTCAGTTTTGTAGTTTTTTCAACTTTCCTTTTTCACCCCTTGTCTTTCAATCAAGATAAGATTTAAAGTTTCAATCTTTCTTCGTTTTTTCTCTTCAGACTATCGGTGGTGATGCCAGCCATCTAAATCTTCTTCCCCAGGTGCTTGTATGTTCATGGGTTTTTTGTTTAAATATTTTCTTACTTATAAAACCAGATCTTTATTATTATCCCTTCAAAATCTCATTTTTTTTCTTCCTTGTTGCATATAGGAATCTTCCACAACCCGTAAAGTACCCATTGGAATAGTTTATTCAGGTGGCTTTTTCATTCTTTCTCATTGTTTGTGTGGTGAATTAAGAACTTTTGTTGGGAATTTGTCATACTTGTATGTTATGGTTAAATTTGCTGTATGAGCAGAATCAGATAGCATAAATTAGCTAGAGTTTTGTCCTCAGTCAATTATAAATTACACAATTTGCTGTATTGCAAACTTTGCTAACTGATACATTGGATAAGGGAACTGAAACAAAGTTAGAGCTACATTTTCCTTTGGCTAAGATGCTAGAGGATAGATAGAGAAAAGGAGCTGAAACAAATTGAAGAATCGAATACTGCCGCAAGATGAGAATGATATGCTGAGTAGAAAACGCAAGAGGTAGCGAATTTGAATTGTTTATGCTAAACTTATGTGCATTATAGCCTTTAACTAATATGGCCTCTGCTTATTGCTTTATGTGGTTCACTTGATCAGTGAATTTCCTTCTATAGAAAGTATATGTATTCTAGCTCTTAAGCTAGCTGCACAAAAATTACTTTGTTGAGGTGGCAAAAGGTGTTATTTTTACATTGTGATGAGAGAGTACATCAATTTGGTGCCTTTTTTTCCTCTTTTGGAGCTTTAGCTTCTACTTCGTTGTATTGGACTCTTTTTGCATTCTCTTTACCTTCAACGCATTGGCAGCATGTTGTCATGTGACGCATTTGATGAGTCTGGATGTAATTATGGTGTTTTCAGAGTTGTGAGTCTTAGTCATGTTACTGAGCCTTCCTTGATTAGATGACATTTTATGACTTACTATGATTTTATAATCTGTTGGTCAGCGTATAATTGATCTGAAGGTGAGACTATGCTGTGATCTTGCAATAACCAGCTCAAAAAGATATTGGAGGACAGGGTGAGACATTATTTAACTACTAATTAGCATAGATTTTTGCTTTTTATTATTACTATTGTTACAGCTAATCTTACAGCATTACTGAAATGTTTTTGTTTAATTAGAATGTTAAGTTATAGCAAGTTTGTGCTAGTTGCATGATTGACTGAGGATAAATTATTACTATTGTTATATAATGCAGTGTATAAATTAAAATGTTTGTTATTTTTGGATATCTTTTAAAAGTGTTGTGATAGAGGAATGCTGTATATAGCATTGAAAATGATTCAGTTGCAGGTCACCTTTATCGTGCATAAAATATCATTTCTGTTGTATGCTGTGTCATGTGAGCCAACCGAATATCATTACTGTACTTATGTTTTTAATGTTTCAATATTGTGTCCTTGCCTAACAACCCACAAGAATATCATTACTGATTTTGCTAATGCTTCACTCGTTTGCATTCTTGCTCTTACAAAACCACACTTGAGCATTACACTAGTTTCATTTTTTCATTGATGAAGTTCCCAGTGTATTGTTTTAATCCAATGGTGTGTTTTAAAAACTTGCTCAATGATACATGGCATCTTGGTGCAGCCCAGTTAATGATCATTATTGGAAATGTTTCGAAATGAGTATATTGGAACTGCTCCATACATATCCTGCATGCCTTCTCTCATCACCATAACTCAGCCCAAGAGATCATTTTTTATCCTCTCATCCGATGGCTTATATCGTATCTGACCAATCAGAAACGTTTTCAAATGTTGAGAGTTTCATGGAGAATTTTCCAAACGGTGATCCTGCACGCACCTAATAGAACGGCTCCTCCATGCAGCTGACAAAGCTGGTAAAATGTTCTTTCTTCTCTGCTTATTTCTTTAAATGCTAATATCATCCAGTTGTACAAATGTGGAAAAGAATTATGAATTTAACCTCTGAAAGTAAGGGTGTTTCTTCCACAGTAAATATGTTCAAAGCTTTTTCCATGCCAATATTAAGCCATTTGTCAACTATTTCTCAATGTAACGTTCTGACATAATTTTTAGTCGTTTTCTTCTGCATTACAATAGTAAATTCTTAGTTATCTTCTTAATCTTATTAACGTGATGGCTCCAACAGATTGGTTTGAGCATTTATTCATGGTTACCTAACATTTTGTATGCATTGACTTATTAATTATAATTTATATGTAATTATTTAGTTTCTGTTTGACTTATGATTATGCATTGAATTGATGGTAGGAAAAATAACAAGCTACAAGATGAAACACAAGCAGGAAAAGTGAAAAAACAGAAGCTGAGATATGTGAGGAAGTTCTTGGTAAAACTTCCGGATTTAACAGAATTTTGCATTTTCACATATTGAGCATCATCCACTGCAGCGAAGCTGAGTTAAGGTGCATTGTGCAACAAGAAGAAATAAGATTAAACAGTTGGAAGACCAGCTAATCTTATTTGATCAGCAAAGAGAAAATAGAAAGCCTTGAACACCAACAATTCATCCGGTTAGAGATGATGAAGCGCTAACTATAGCCCTTGACTAGAGAAATCTGATAAAGCTCCAACTCGATAGCACTTGCCTTCTCGAACTGTAAGACTCGTCCTCATCAGTACAGCTATTTCAAATACCGGAACTGGTGACACTTGACATGCTAACGGACTCGATGGTTATTTTTGTGTTGTATGGACAAAAGATATTTTGACATGGGGGTAGAACCATCTTTTTAGGATTGTTTGCTATAGTGTTAGAGGTGTACATGGGTGGGCATTTTTTTTGTTAGTTATGCACAGATAGATAGTAGAGAAGGAAAATGTGGGTGCATGCTGTTCTTTTGGTTATGCACATGTATAGTGCATTTGGATTTTTATTGCTCATCATGCATAAAATCCATGTATGACTTATATATATTGTATGAAAATATGATTTTGATTTAGTGATCAGATTTTTATATTGTGTCCATTATTTTGTTCATGTTGAATGTATAATGTAGGTCATACTAAATGCTCTAAAAAAAACACATTCTGCAACTAAGTTTTCAGTAGCAAAAGCCATTTAGCATAATTGCATTCCGTTGGAAGTCAATATGAAATCTCTAAAAAAACACATTCTGCAACTAATGTTTTAGTAGCAAAAAGTATTTAAGTATAATTGATTCCATATCCGCGTCTAAAAAATAGTCGCGATAACATTTGGTTTCACATTTAGCGTCAAAATGATAACATTAATCACTAATTTTTGTCACTAAAAGATACATTCGTCACTATAATAGTCCACAAAAACTTATTGGATTCCACATTCACCGTCTAAATGACTATAATTAACTACTAATTTAGTCACCAAAAGATATATTTCAGCCACTAATAAAAGTCGCGAAAACCTATTGATTCCATATTCAGCGTCTAAAATGACTATAATTAACTACTAAATTTTAGTCACCAAAAGATACATTCGGCCACTAATAAAATAGTCGCGAAAACCTATTGGATTCCACATTCACGTCTAAAATGACTATAATTACTACTAAATTTTGTCACCAAAAGATACAGACCACTAATAATGTTTGCGAAAGCCTTTGGCGAAATTACCCTTACACCTTTGGCGACTATGTGCGTATTCGCGACAAATTATTAGACACTGAAATCGACATTTTGCAACTAATTGATTAGTCGCTTACAATTTTACCAAATTACCCTTCAACTTTTAGCGTCTAAGTTGGGACTATTTTGAATAACATTTGCCGACTATTTTGATAGTCGCAAAAAAAAACTTTTTGCGTCTAACCACAATATAGACGCGCTATGAATCTGCGACCAGCCTACTGCATTAAGGGGCGACTACCGAATTTAGCGCTAAAAATGTTTGCGTCTAAATGTGACTTTCTGCTCTAATTTTGTTAGACGCAGAAAGTCAGTTTTCTGTAGTGATGGTTTAAGTTACAAGATTAATGCAGATTTGAGAAATTGATTTGATCTAACTGAAAAGTTGATTTGAGTGGAACATTAAGACAGTTGAAAATGAACCAGTTTTGCTTAAGGGGAAGTATCAACAAAAGGTTAAATGTCTGGGAAGTTGAGAGTTGAAAGTGAACTTTTTTGCTTAAGGGGATATATCAGCAAAGGTCAAGACGGTGCCGTTTCTCTGCTTGGCACTTTACTAAATGCAAAGTGACGTCGTTTTCAATTCATCATATAACTTTCCTCTTCTCTTTACTTTCTGCACTTTACTCTTTCTCTCAATTATTCAGTTAACGTCTTTCTCTTTCTCAATTGTATAAGAACAAATCTCATGTAAGCTCATTTCATTCAGTTAGAAAATAAAGCTACTGAAATTGTGCTTTTCTCTAGAAACTTCAATTTATCTTTTTCAAGTTCTCAAAGCCTCATCAATAGAAGCCAGCCTTTCTGAGGTGTCCAAGCTAGACTCATGGACTTTAGCGCCGTTGAGGAGTACAACATCGACATAGGAGTAGATGAGGTAACTATTTCATTTTGATTCTAAAATTTAATAATTTTCTCATATTCTAAAATTTAATAATTTGTAGTTAAGAACCGTTTTATAGGATCAAACTTAGTACATGAAGAAACCAATTTGTACTTTTGATGAACATCTCGTGGAAATAATTCACCTTCAATGCACTTTGCTTTTTTAGAAGTAAATGATGGGGATTAAAGAAAAAAGGAAAGAAAAATGTTTCGCAGTAAAGCCAAAATGTCAGAAGTTAACTAGTCAACAATTATAATTGGCAAAAGGTAGGGCTTTTGAATTTGATCTACTATCATCTTTTATTATATCAGCTCTCTGAATATGATTATTAAGTTCACAATTTGTTAGATAGCTGAACTGTGGTTGTATTCGTGACCTGTCGCTGTCAGCCTTCTTTCAGGTTCTCGCTTTGCTCAAGTGTTCACTGGTGTCAAAGAAACCTTTGACAGAAACTTTGTTGAATCGAAATTCAGCACCGAAGTTCGGAAAAGAAGATTTTGATCAGAACATCTATGTTGAATCTACAGTAGAAGAATCAGAATCAAATGTGGATGGGAAGATTCATGTAAAGCTTATCATCAGTAAATCCAAGAAAATGGTTTGTTTTGCCGAAACAAGTGAAGAATTTGTTGATTTAGTCTCCAGTTTCCTAACTGTTCCACTTGGTTATATAATAAAAGAAATGCAGAGTAGCATTTCAATAGGATCCTTAACTAACCTGTACAATAGTGTCCAGGAACTCGATGTTGAGAAATACTTGAAATCTAATGAGCACAAGGAAATTCTCATCAGTCCGAAGCTCGCCCCTGATTTTAGCCATGAGAACAATCCTTTAGGCATTGAAGAAGGTTTGCACCCATCATACCGTGCTATAGAATATCATGTATATCCTTATCATTATGAATTGACTTCTGATGGTCAAATTCCTTCTGGATCTACTTTGAGAAGTTCAATTTTAACTGTCAAGGGTCCTAAGTCTCATTTTAAAGAAGCCAAAAGAGGAGGGTTTGTGACTGGACCAACAATGTTTACCGTAACTGACAATCTGATCATCACACCCATTTCTCAAGTCAAAAGTTTGTGTCTTCTGAAAGAATTGAAAGTATCTGTCAGCGATATTGAGGAGCGTGTTGTGCATGTGGGCAGTGAGAAGGTAAGTTGACATAAATATTTCAGTATTAAACTCTAACAAAGCATCCCATGATTTCTGATGGTAGTTTCTTTTGACTATTTTGAGATCTTGTTATAGAGATGCATGATGATTTTGGCATACAACCCTTAAGAATTTCTTCGAAATTCAAGTCCCTATGATTTAACTTTAACCTTCTAGAATGTTACTATTGGAAACCATAAAGTATGATGAGTCCAGCTATATATATCATTTTCATTTTCTTAGTGCAAAACATTATTCTGGGACATTATCACAGTAATCCACCCCGCAAGGTGCAGCAAACAATATAAAGTTTCGTACATGTGTTTTAAGGTTTTTCCTTACATTGGTAAGAGCAATCGAGGTCTTATTAGCTTTAAAGTAACAATGAAGAACTGTATCAGCCAAATAGCTTATTTCTTCATAAGGTTTTAGATTCTCATACTATTTGTATCTTTTATTATTTTTATGTTGTAAGTCTTGTCAAATTGCAAGGCATTGCCATCTACAAATGCATTGTTTTCAATCAAATAGTAAGTGACAGTATAGAAGTAAAATACAAATGCTATCAGATTATTCTGCCAAGCCAATAATCTACCACACTAAGCTAGTGCCAATTCTACTTTTGTTTCCGCATTACCACCTCCCATTAATTAGACTATATAAATGGTGAGTTTTGATTCAAAAGCTGTTCAAGAAGAGAATCCATTGAAGATTATCTAAAAGCATGATATCAATTCTCTTGTTGATACCTTATGAATCTATTTCCCTTGTTGATACCTTATAAATTTGTTTTACTTTGCAGGCTTTGCGTCTATTAATGGCTTCTTTTGTATCAGAATCTGCTTTGACCAGTGTCTTTCTGAGAGAGCCAAATCCAGAATAGTCAAGTTAATTTTTTACAGCTAAAATATAGAATGTTGTTCATGTGAAACCTTTTTATATATTTTGTTAAAATTTGTGTTTGTACTCTAGCATGCTCTTAAACAAGAGTGTATTGCATATATGTTACTACAAAGGATTTGCATTGTATTTGCAATTTGAGTTTGCTTATATGAGTAACATCTTTCTTTCTCACAAACACACACAACAAAACTATGCTTTTCTTCTAATCTGCACAAATAGAGAAACAAGACATCTGTGTTACAACTTTCAGGTTTTTATGCGAGTTTGGAAGCTAAACTTCTGAAATTTTTATTTTTATAAAATTTCCAGAATCAAGACGCATGAATAGGCAAATGACATGGTGTTTGTGGACTGAAACATTGGCTCAACTGAAAGCCAATAAATTATACATTCATACATTTTTTTTAAGATGTGGGAAGTAAACTTTGTTTCCAAGAAAAAGTTACCCTAATTTGACATCAGATAGTGGTGTTAATAGTTAAGAATGAAGGGATAATGAATTATCTTGTAATTGGTAGCTTGTGAATCTTCTTTATATATCTATATATTAATTACAAAAGTAACTTTTCCCTTTACCAAAAACACAAATTATGTCAACAAAATTACAAAATAACCAACTCTTGGCTCTCTCTCTCTCTCTATATATATATATATATTAATTTTGAGTCATTTGAGCTCTTTCAACTTCCTTCATTAATTAATCCACCTTGCCTTGTGTAACAAATCCCACATTGAAAATGTATTGGGGAGGTCTTGGGCTTATAAATGGGTGGAGTCTCTCCACTTAATAGGTTAACCTTTTGGGTGTAAAACTCGCAGCCGTGACAAGTGGTATCAGAGCAGACTCAATCCGTCTTTCGATGTCCCACCAAGCGCCCATGCAGGGGCGTCCACGTGTGATTGTGGGTCCACATGAGAGTGAGGTGGATGGGTAGGCGGGGGGCCCCATCTGTGATGAGGGCATCACAAGATTGGGTGGGAGAGAATGTAACAAATCCCACATTGAAAACGTATTGTGGAAGTCTTGGGCTTATAAATGGAGGGAATCCCTCCACCTAATAGGTTAACCTTTTGGGTGTGAAACTCCCAGCCCGTGACATTTGGCATCATTCATGCATTATTCTTTGATCCTCTTACTGTATATATTCTTTCCTAAAATTTTCTGCTGGGTACACTCTTTGATCCTTTCTAAAATCTTATTACGATTCTTTCCAGCAATGTGCTAGCTGGAAACCAGGCATATCTTACTTTATAATGTATTTGTCCGTAGAGTTGCAACATTTTTGTTAGCTTAAGTTACATGATTTGGACTGTTAATTTCTTCTCCCTTAAGAATTCTTACTTTAAAAAGGCAGTTGCTAAAGATAATGGACCACACATGTAGGGATACACCTTTAAAATTAACAGTCGCTTAGTTCCATTTTCTCTAAGAATATATATTTTCTCTGTTACAAGAAGATCCAAAGTCAAGTCAAGTCAAGTACTGGACTGTTCATTTCTTCTCCCTTAAGAATTCTTGCCTTCAAAAGGAAGTTGCTAAAGTTAGTGGACCACACATGTACGGATGCACTTTTTAACTTACTTAAAACCTCTCTTCTACTTGATTTTCTCTGCTCTCTGCTCCCTGAATCCTTCATTGAACTCCTCTCCAGCAACAGAAGCTTGGTGATCACCAGGTACTATATATGTTTTTGTCATATAACATCAGTTGCTTTTAAAGTTTAAGTTCTTGAGCATCTGAGCTAGAGTTAATCGCATGACTATATGGGCTGTTTTCTCTGTAGAATTATTACTTGTATTAGTCATTTTATCTTAGCTTTTATTCGTCAGTGTTTAGATTGTTTTAATCATTATTTCAATCCCAGAAAGCTCTAAACATTGACGCTTTTTCGACTCGTAAACCTTAATTAATGATCAAATTAATTACACATCTCCATCTTCTTGTTTTGAATTTTCTGATGGTGTTCTTTTCCAGCCCATTGAACTCCTTTAAGTAAGTTTATGAAAAAGTTTATATAAAACTCGTTACTTCGTTCAATCATCAATGATTTATGTTTTTTACTTAATGTACAATATGTATGTGAACATTTGCGCTAAGAAAAAGTCCTTGAATCTTCCAGCCTTGTTAAGATCAGCTTAGAATCATGGTGTTTTTGAATCAATTTATCCTTTTCGTTGTTTCAAGAAAATGGTTGTTTGTTGAATTTCTGCTTTTTGCAATTAGGTTTTGTTTATGANAGCTAGAGTTAATCGCATGACTATATGGGCTGTTTTCTCTGTAGAATTATTACTTGTATTAGTCATTTTATCTTAGCTTTTATTCGTCAGTGTTTAGAATGATTTAATCATTATTTCAATCCCAGAAATCTCTAAACATTCAAGATTTTAACGACTTGTAAACCTTAATTAATGATCACATCTCCACCATCTTATTGTTTTGATTTTTCTGATGATGTTCTTTTCTAGGCCGTTGAACTCCTTTAAGTAAGTTTATGAAAAAGTTTATATAAAACTCGTTACTTCGTTCAATCATCAATGATTTATGTTTTTTCCTTAATGTACAATATGTATGTGAACATTTGCGCTAAGAAAAAGTCCTTGAATCTTCCAGCCTTGTGGAGATCAGCTATGAATCATGGTGTTTTTAAATCAATTTATCCTTTTCCTTGTTTCAAGAAAATGGCTATTTGTTGAATTTCTGCCTTTTGCAATTAGATTTTGTTTACGAAATCCAGTAACTATATATGCTTTTAGTCAGAAACTGAGCTGTTGCATAGATTTCAAAATTTCAATTTCCTGAAGTGTATGAACGTACAAGGCTTCAGGCTTAGATAAGTAATTGATTAAGCATTGATTTTGCTGGCTGTATTCAGTTTTGAACAAAGCAAGATTTGAAAGCATATACTCAATGACTACGGAGGAAGCAAAAGCAATTAGCTTGAAGACCTTGGTGGATAAAAAGAACAACAGAGTTATATTTGTGGAATCAGATGAGGACTTTCCTGATGTTCTCTTTAGTTTCTTGACAATGCCCATGGGAACAATCATCAGGCTTATTTCTAATCATAATCAACCGCCAACAGTGGCAGTAGGTTGCATGAACAATTTGTATGAAAGCATTAAGAACCTTGACATGCAGTATTTCCGGACTGAAGCATGCAAGACCATGTTGCTATGCCCCAGAAATGACGCTGCACCTCAGAACAAGAGACTAAAATTGCAAATTGACGATGGTGAGCTGCCGAGGTACTTCTTGTGCACTACGGATTGTACATTTTCTGGGCACAAGTTATTGAGTCTCTACCCTAATGCTGTTTGCGAATGTGGACGGCTCATGGATAGGACGATGGAGTTGTCAGAGAAGACTGTACAAAAGTTAGTTTTTGATGCTCGAGATAGAGGAGTGTTTGTTAAAGGACTGACCCAATTTATAATAAGTGATGAATTACAAGTAAAGCCCTCATCAATAGAAGCAAGTGTCTCCGTACTGTCCAAGCTAAGACTCATGGACTGTAGCGCCATTGAGGAGTATAAATACTACAACGTCGACATAGGGGTAGATGAGGTAACTGTTTCATTCTGATTTTAAAATTTAATATTTTTATCGGATTTTACCATAATTTGTAGTTAAGAATCGTTTTGCATGATAAAGATAGAACATGAAGAAACCAATTCGTACTCGTGATGAACATCTCTTGGAAATAATTCGCCTTCAATGCAGTTTGCTTTTTTAGAAGTAAATGATGGGGATTAGAAGAAAAAATGTTTCGCAGGCAAGCCAAAAATGTTAGAAGCTGAACTAATCAACAATTATAATTAACAAAAAGTAGGGCTTTTGAATTTGATCTTGAAATAGAAGGTTTAGTCGGTGACTTCTTGGATAGGGCCGAGCGGCAGAAGCTCAAATGTGGGTACACCAACTTAAAACAATCATAATTTTTTATCTAAAAGGAATTACGGAGCCCGTACGATATAAATAGAAAGCTCGTTTCGAGCCTGGCAATGTGGCAATCCAAGTCCCCAGTTCAGTGTCATTTTCAGGTCCAAAATCCATTGTTTCGACGTGTTTAGAGGCTGTTTAAGTTTTCTATGTGTTTTTCCTATTTTATTTAGAGTCTTTTCTTATGTGATAATTAGTCAACAGTTAGAATTTCCTTTTTTTAATTAATTTGTATTTTATTTCCTTATTGATTGGGAGTCTTTTGTTAGGCTTGGTTATTGCCCCTCTACATAAACATATTATTTATTTTTTTAAGATATAGAATGATTTTTAAATTTTCCTTCAAGTTTACGAACTAAGTTTCTGTTATGCAGATTTGTTTATTGATCATAACAGCATAGTCGTATGTTAGCCTTGTTTTTACGCTAACTCGCTATGTTAGATCTACTATCATCTTTTATTATACCATCTCTCTGAATATGATTAATAATTTCCCAATTTGTTAGATAGCTGAACTGTGGTTGTGTTCGGGACCTGATGCCTTCTTTCAGGTTCTCACTTTGCTCAGGTGCTCACTAGTGTCAAAGAAATCTTTGACAGAAACTTTGTCGAAACAAAATTCAGCAACAAAGTTCGGCAGAGAAGATTTTGATCAGAACATCTATGTCGAACCTACAGTGGAAGAACCAGAATCAAATGTGGACGGGAAGATTCATGTAAAGCTTATCATTAGCAAATCCAAGAAAATTGTTTGTTTTGCCGAAGCAAGTGAAGAATTTGTTGATTTAGTCTCCAGTTTCCTAACTGTTCCACTTGGTTATATAACAAAAGAAATGCAGAGTAGCATTTCAAAAGGATCCTTAACTCACCTATACAATAGTGTTTAGGAACTCGATGCTGAGAAATACTTTAAATCTTATGTGCACAAGGAAATGCTTATCAGTCCGAAGCTCGCCCCGGATTTTAGGTATGAGAACCATCCTTTAGGCATTGAAGAAGGTTTGCACCCAACATACCGTGCTATAGAAAATTATGACTATAATTGTGGTCGTTATCGTTGTCAACTGATTTCTGATGGTGAAATTCCTTCGGGATCATATAATAGAAGTTCAATTTTAATGGTCAAGGATCCTAAGTCTTACTTTAAAGAAGCCACAAGAGGAGGATTTGTGGCTGAATCAGCAATGTTTATTGTAACTGACAATCTGATCATCACACCCATGTCTCAATTCCAAAGTCTGTCTCTTCTAAACAAATTGAAAGTACCTTTCAGCGATATTGAGGAGCGTGTTGTGCATGTTGGCCGTGAGAAGGTAAGTTGACATAAATATTTCAGCATTAAACTCTAATAAAGCATCCCATGATTTCTGATAGTAGTTTCTTTTGACTATTTTGAGATCCTGTTATAGAAACGCATAGTGATTTTGCCATACAACCTTTAAGTATTTCTTCGAAATTCAAGTCCCTATGATTTAACTTTCTTTCAATTTGCCTAACCTGCTAGAATGTTACTATTGGAAACCATACAGTATTCTATTACATAATCATAGAAATTCATCCAGCAAGATGCAGCAAACAATATAAAAGTTTCATACATGTATTTTAAGGTTTTTCCTCACATTGGCAAGAGCATTAGAAGTCTTATTTGCTTTTAAGTAACACTGAAGAATTGCATTAGCCAAATAGCTCATTTCTTCATAAGGTTTTAGATTCCCATACTATCTGTATCTTTTATTATTTTTATATTGTAAGTCTTGTCAAATTGCAAGCCTTTGCCATCTACAAATGTATCGTTTTCAATCAATAGTAAGTGACAGTATAGAAGTAAATTATACAAATGCTGTCAGTTTATTGTGCCCAGCCAATAATCTACCAAACTAAGCTACTGCCAATTCTGTTTTTGTTGCTGCATTACCAACTCCCATTGATTAGACTACAAAAATGGAGAGTTTTGATTCAGAAGCTGTTCAAGAAGAGAATCCATTAAAGATGATGGGAAAGCATGATATCCATTCTCTTGTTGATACCTTATGAATTTGTTTTTTGATACCTTATGAATTTATTTAACTTTGCAGGCTTTACGTCTATTGGTGGCTTCTTTTGTATCTGAATCTGTTTTGACCAATGTCTTTCTAAGAGAGCCAAATCCATATTTCAACTAAAATAAGGAATTTCTAAGAGAGCCAAATCCATATTTCAACTAAAATAAGGAATGTTGTTCATGTGAAAACTATTTATAGTTTGTGTTAAAATTTGTGTTTGTCTTCTGGTATGCTCTTAGACCAAAGGTATTCTATATAAGTATGTTACTCCAAAGGATTTGCATTGTATCTATTTATTGTAAGATATATTTCCAATTTTAGCTCCAATGTGGATAGCATTCAAAAACAAATGGAATATGATTTGCAATGTTCTGAAACCCGGACCGGATCGGACGGTTGAACCGGTCCGACCGGGTTTCGCTTATATTTTCGGTTTAAAAAGAGTAAAAACCTGGATTTTTACATCAGAATGTTTCAAACCATGATTGGACCGTTTTACTGTAGCAAACCGATGGTCCAACCGGTATAACAAAGAAATCCAATCCAGTCCGCTGCTTAAAAATATGAAAAAAACTAAAAAAAATTAAAACCACCAACACAAAATCAAAACGCCAAATTTTTTAAAACATTTCAATTTGCTTTTGCGAGTTATCTGCCACTTTTAAAATTTTGCTTTTTGCTCTTGCCTTTTTCATTTTGGTTTGCTTTTTTTTTTTTCGGTTTGCTACTTTGCCATTCGCGATCTCCAGTCCAGTCCTCCTCCATTCGTTATCTCGGATCTCCTTCAAGCTTCAGCTTCAGCGGTTCAGCCTTCAAGTCTTCACTCTTCAAGTCCTCTTCATCATCGCGACCTCCTCCTCTTCAATCAACCTCTTCAGGCTCCAGTCTAGTCCTCCATTCACGATCTCCTTCAAGCTTCAGCTTTCAGCCTTCAAGTCTTCAAAAGATGCAGAAGAAGAAAAGAGAAGAGAATATGAAATAAGTAAAGAAGAAAGAGAAGAGACGGCGAGAAAGAGAGGGAAAAAAGAAGAAGATGGAAGTAAAGAAGAAGAAAGGAAAGATGAGGTGACGGGTGAGAAGAAGAAAGAGAACATGAGGTGACATTTTGAAAATATATAATATAAAGAAGAAAAAGAGGACGGAAAGAAAGAGAGTGGAAAAAAAATGGAAAAAAGAAAGAACGAGAAAGATAAAATGGCATGATAGGAAATAAATATTAAAATATAGGCTCCGTTTGGTTGTCAATTGGGAATACTTTTAAGTAGTATTTCCAAGAAAGTTAAACAGTAAAATATCTAAAAATTTTGATTTTTGGGAATATTATTCTCAATATTATTTAATTTTTTTTAAACCCCTTAAATTTTATAATTTAATTAAATACCCCTAAATATTTTTTTAAAAATTATAAAAACACCCCAGTCATTCATATTTACCAGATTCTGGCCACCACTGTCGAAAAATGGCCAGAATCTGTTAGGATGGCACACTACCCGCTGAATCTAACCGGTAGTGCGTCGATCTAGCCTTTTCCGGTCAGATCCACGGTAGATCTGACGTTATAAACCGTTACGGCCAAAGATCTAGCCGTTGACAGCCAGATCTGGCCTTAGATCTGGCCTTTGTCGGCTAGATCCACCGTGGATCCAGCCGGTCATGCGTCAATACGGTGAACCCGACCACCCTCCGACGGTGGTGGCCGGCTGTCCGTATTTGACATTGGGTTGGGGGTGTTTTTGTTAACTTTTAAGATTTTATTATAGGGGGTGTTTTGTAAATAAACAAATATAAGGGGTATTTTATTAATTTATAAATCCTACATCGTAATACCCGCCCAATTCAACTTTTTTTTAACTTTTTTCAGAAAATTTTTCTCAAAAACACCCAATTGTGAACCAAACGGAGCCATAATATTTGATGATATCATCGATCTGACTCGACGGTCAGATAGAAAACCGGTCACTTGACCGAGTCACCTTTCGGTTCGAGTTTCGGATCATTGATGATTTGTAAAGAAGTGGAGGTAAATTTGATTTATACCTATAAACAATATGTAAGTCACGGCTAGAAAAGATTGAGAGACCAATTTCTGTTCTCTTCTATATATTATAGCTTTGTTCCATCTTGTGTTGAATTAATACTTTCTCTCTTACAAAAAGATCAAAAGTCAAGTACAGCACCGGACAGTTTATTTTTTCTCCCTTAAGAAATATATAGAAACATATATCCTTGTTTCTTATTTGTCTCTATTCATAGAGTAGGATTTGAGCATCCTGTTATGTGCATAATTGTTTGCCTACATTTGGACGTTGAAACAGTCCTTAAAATCTTCCAACCTTGAAAAGTGAACTGCTTAGAATTATAGTGTTTTTGAATGAATTTATCCTTTTCCTTGTTTCAGAAAATGGGCTATCCATTAGTATCTACTAAGTTTCTAGGCAGAAAATGAGCTTCCATATAAATATTTACAGTTCTTGAAGTGTATGGAACACTGGCTTCAGCCTTAGATAAATAATTGATTAACCAATGGTTATGCAGGTTGGTATCAGTATTTGAACAACCATAGCAATTAGCTGTTGAAAACAGAGTTATATTTGCTGAATCAGATGAGGATTTTACCGATGTCCTCTTTAGTTTCTTGACAATGTCCATGGGAACAATCAACCAAACGCAAGTGGGATTTCGATGGGCTTATTATATTAAGTAGATATGGGCTTAATCAGCAAATGGGCCCATGGTAATTGCTTTGTTATTTGTTTCAGGCTGTACATGTTTGGATGATTTGGGTGCCCTTAGAAATCTTTTGTGTGCAATATTTTGCTTGTCTGTTGTCTTCTGATTACGTAACCCCACAATAAATTTAAAATTCCCGCTATTGTGTTGGGTTACCGACACAACTTAGCAAAAACGCAAATGGTTTAATTTGATAAGTTTGTTAAGCTAACCTAAGGTACAAAAATGACTTAATTCCCCGGAAATGGGGTACAATTTTTATTTTTTATTTTTTTGTGACCGAGGTGTCTGGGCTAATTTATACGTACCTCAAATAATCTTTTAGGACCCTAAAGTTAAAGACAAGATAAACCCCTTAATGACCACCCCTATTAGGGATTATGGAGACTTGAATTCAATAGCTCATGAAACATTCTTTTGCTTTTTTATCACCAAATCACCCGACGGTGGTTACAGAGTTCAAATTATATTTCAAGTTTTTTTTTTTTTTTTTTTTTTTTTTTTTTTTTTTTTTTTTTTTTTTTATAGATATATTATGATAAGTAATATTGTGCCATTAGAAGCAAAACACATGAACTAGGCCATTCATACGGTATCTGAGTGATTACAATTGCTATTTGAACTAATTTTCAATCAAATGGTGTGGTATGAGGTCCATAAGATGGGACTATGTGTACTGTGACACGATCTCATGAAAATGCAAGGTTCATAAGGATGATTCTATAAATTAAGTAGACGTAAGTCTAATAATAAAATCGTTTATGTCAAGCTCAAAAGTAAATCCATGCAAACAAAGTGCACTTTCCAAGCCATGACGCAAGGATCATAGGGTGCATTTTGGGTAAATGACACTTGTAATCTCAAACAAATGTATGTAAAATTCAAAAGCTTGTTTGAAACCCAAAAATAAATCTGTATAAGCTCAAAAACAAATCCATACAAATTGGACACAAATTACCCACCCCTGGATAGTCCAACGGTAAACACGAATCAAGGGGTTATGCATGGCTTCAACCCATAGTTTCAGGTTCGATTCCTCATCGAGACAAAAGTGATTTACCTGGGCCTATAGCGGTGGATTACTGCTAAGAGCTAGACCTGGCAAAATGGGTCCAAACCTGTGGGTCGGCCAGTACCCGAGTAAAAAATATAGGGCATGACCTGAGTAAAAATATAGGGCATGGGTTTAATATGTTGAACCCGTTTAATTTCTACTCGTACTCGACCCGACCATTTTTTGACGGGTGCCCTCGGGTACCTGTTTTTTCAAAGCTAAACCCTAAGTCCCTAACCCATTAACGCCACCCAACTCTAAAACAAACTTTCTCTTCTCTCTCGTGCCTCTGAATCTCTCATCACTGTCAGTGTTCACGTTTTCATTATCTCAATCTCTCATCTCATCACTCTGTTCAGTGTTCACATCGTCGATTGCCGTCATTCATCCTCGTCATCTCGTCGTCTCCTCTCTCTGTCATCGTCGGGCGTCGGCTCGTCATCTCCTGTCTCTCTCCATCGCAAGACTCCATCATTAAGGGTATGTAGTATGTACTTGTGTAAAAATGTTCAAATTTATGAGTTTTAGAGCTAAACTAGATGTATCATTTCTGGTTATGGTGTAGTGTTATCGTTTTTTGTTTTATTAATTGTGGTGATAGTGGCATTCTGCTACCATGGGTTCTGGGCTTTGAAATCTCAAGATGAAAAGGCATGGACACTTAGTTGTTATATTATATTATATTATCTATAATGGGTGGATCGATGGAGGGATGTTTGTTTTGAGATTTGAGAGAGTCATTTCTTGAGTTTGTATTCATTCATTGTTGTTATATATATTTGCTATACTATTTATTGTTATTATACGGTGGAATAAAAGAGATTTATATTATTATTATCATTTATATTTTTTCTCCTCTATTTTCTTGAATTTATAATCTTATTGAACTTATGCGTTCTGAAACATTCTATTATCATCGTCAAACACAAATCATTGTTTCAATCTGACAGTTTAAAATCAAAAGAAGGTTTTTATGGGGATAGCAAATACAATTCATTGTTTTCCTCTTCCATGCTATCTGTTTTCAAAGTTTTACCCGTTGATCTAATTCACAGTTCAGTTCTGCAAATTTATGACAGATAAAGTTGGCACTTGCAGTATCATTTGGACACCACATATTATTTCAAGACAAAAGATTGATTTTCACTCTTAATTCTTATAATTTCAAGACAATAATCAATAAAGTAGGCAATAAAAAACTTGAAAAGTTCTTAAAAATATGATATAAAATTGTATTTATGTGTAACAGAGTGTTATTTTGGGTGCATAGAATAGAATCCCACCCTTTGTACCTAAATTTCAAGTATTTAAAACTTGTCAATGAAAAATGCATAGACAAAGATAAGAGACCCAATTATAATCTAATTTTATATAAGCTAATCTTAGAACATGGATGGGAAATCTTCCATGCTATTGTAATCCTGCATGTGTATACATATGTTCTAGTATATATAAAGAGGTTTGCTAATATTTTGTGCTTGTTGTCACCATCTTCTTCCCCCCTTACTTGTTTATTCATGATGTTTTGTGGATGATAAGACTCTTTGGCAACTGTAAATACGATGATATTGATTATTGAGACATCTTGAGAGCTTTACTTTGAAATCTTATGTCAACTGTTACCATTAAAATCCATGTAGGGATTTTGGATGCTTGTGTATAGATTTATCATATAATTACTAAAAGTATGCTTATAGAAAAGCAGAATGTTAGTTTAAATTAATTTTATTTTGGTTATGGTGTCTTTGATGTTTGTTTCTTTATTTTATTGTATTATCCTTTGAGTGTATATATATATATATATATATATATATATATATATTTTAGTCTCAAGCATTGATATGGTGGATTGTATATGAGTTTGAAGGTAACATGTTAACATAATATTTCTTATATTTTATTATTTACATTTATTAATATTTGTAGTTGATCATTGTTTTGTAGATGATGAGGTGAATGCTGATTCGAATGATGATCTTGATATGCCATTAACCAATCTCGAGACTGTGGAATCAAGATACTCTATCACGCCTACTATGGGATGAATATTTGTTGTTCTAAGAATTTTTTTTGTTGAATATTGGATTACGTATTTGTTTATTTTAGTTGGTATTTATAGTTTATTGACTTATTTTATTTGTTTATGTGTAATTGTGTATTAGTGATTTTGTATTTGTTTATTTTGGTTGGTATTTGTAGTTTTGTATTATATGTTATTGTTTGTTTATGTGTTATTTGTTTATTTTGGTTCCTATTTGTTTATATTCTTAATTGAATTGAATTTAGAGTAGTTGATTTCGGGGGTGTAAATGTGAAAAATTAAAACTGCAGGAATTTTGGGGGTGTAATTGTCATAATTGAAAACTATTAGGGGTGAAAAAAATACTAAAATCTGGAGAGAGAAAAAACGGTTCCACCCGTACCTGTATAGGGTAGGGCACGGGTCCAATATTTTGGACCCATATATCTCGACCTGTATAAGAACCCGTACTTATTTGACCCGACCCGTACTTACCAAGGCAGCATTTACATTAACCATTATTATGGATTTTGATGGGCTTATTATATTAAGTAGATACTATCTGTATCTTTTATTATTTTTATGTTGTAAGTCCTGTCAAATTGCAAGGCATTGCCATCTACAAATGCATTGTTTTCAATCAATAGTCAGTGATAGTATAGAGGTAAAATACAAATGCTGTCAGTTTATTGTGCCAAGCCAATAATCTACCACACTAAGCTACTGCCAATTCTATTTTTGCTGCTGCATTACCGCCTCCCATTAATTAGACTATACAAATGGAGAGTTTTGATTTAGAAGCTGTTCAAGAAGAGAATCCATTGAAGATGATCTGAAAGCATGATATCCATTCCCTTCTTGATATCTTATGAATTTGTTTTACTTTGCAGGCTTTGCGTCTATTTGTGGCTTCTTTTGTATCTGAATCTGCTCTAACCAATGCTTTTCTGAAAGAGCCAAATTCATATTTCAGCTAAAATATGGAATGTTATGCATGTTAAAACTATTTATAGTTTGTGTTTGTACTCTGGTATGCTCTTAGACTAGAAGGTATTCCATATAAGTATAATGCTATAAAGGATTTGCATTGTATTGACAATTTTGAGTTTGCTTTTGTGTGAACCATCTTGCTTTTGCTTTAATATAATTTTGAGTATAATTATATAAAATAGGTGGTACAGGGTATGCACTTAGTTGCAATCTTGAATTTCCTTTTCGTGTTTATCATTTTTTCATACTCAAAAACATACTTCATTTATTTCTCAATTCAGGTATGGCCAATAAGCCTTGAAATTTTGCAGATGTGTGATGAGTCATTTGAAAACTCTTTCAACTTCCTTCATTAATTAATCCACCTTGCCTTGGCATCATTCATGCATTATTACTCCATCAGTCACATAACCTGGTTCCATCGTTTCCATAAATTTTCTATTTTCCAATAAGATATAGCAATATTCAAGGCATGCAGGACTGTTCATTTCTTCTTCATTAAGAAACTAAAGATGACAAGAGTACGACTTCACAGGCAACGATCGATGCTCCCTTAACTTACTGTATATATTCTGCTCAGTAAGTTAAGGGAGCATCGTACACTATTTCAACCTCTCTAAAATCTTATTACACTTCTTTCCAGCAATGTACTAGCTGGAAACCAGGTACCCTATCTAACTTTATCATAGATAATCAGTTATAATGTTTTCGTCCGTACAGTTGCAACATTTTTGTTATTTTAAAGTTGCATGATTTGGATTGAGAGGAAGAAAATGATTTTTGACATTAAAAGGAAAATGAAATCTATTTATTGTGAGATAGATTTCCAATTTTAGCTCCAACGTGGATAGCATTAAAAAACAAATGGAATATGATTTGTAAAGAACTGGAGGTGAATTTGATTTATACCTGTAAACAATATATGCACGAGTCACGGCTACAAAAGATTGAGAGACCAATTTCTGTTCTCTACTGTTTATTATAGCTTTGTTCCATCTTGTGTTGGATTAATATTTTATCTGTTACAAGAAGATCAAAAGTCAAATACAGGGCAGTTTATTTTTTCTACCTTAACAAATATATAGAAACATATATCCTTGTTTCTTATTTGTCTCTATTCATAGAGTAGGATTTGAGCATCCTGTTATGTGCATAATTATTTGCCTACACTTGGACGATGGAACAGTCCATAAATCTTGCAACCTTGAAAAGAGAACTGCTTAGAATTATAGTGTTTTTGAATGAATTTATCATTTTCCTTGTTTCAGAAAAAGGGCTATCCATTAGTATCTACTATGTTTTTAGGCAGAAAATGAGTTTCTGTATAAATTTTTACAGTTCTTGAAGTTTATGCAACATTGGCTTCAGCCTTAGATAAATAATTGATTGACCAATGATTATGCAGGTTGGTATCAGTATTTGAATAAAGGAAAACTTGGAAGAATATACACAATGAATACGGAACAAACCATAGCAATTAGCTTTGAGGCCTGGGTGGACAAAGAGAACAACAGAGTTATATTTGCTGAATCAGATGAGGATTTTACTGATGTCCTCTTTAGTTTCTTGCCAATGGCCATGGGAACAATCATCAGACTTACTTCTAATCAACCACCACAAGTGGGGATTAATAGAATGCATGTGCAGTTTGTATGAAAGCATTAAGAGTATTGACGTGAAGTATTTCCGGACTTAAGCATGCAAGACCATGTTGCTATAACCCAGAAACGGAGCTCAATCATAGTGCAAGAGACTAAAATTACAAATTGACGATTGTGAACCTCCGAGGTTGTTCTTGTGCAATGAATGTAGCCTTTCTATGTACAAGTTACTGAGTCTCTACCCTAATGCTATTTGTAAATGTGGAGGGAAAATGCTTAATGAGAAGCAATACTCTGAGAAGAATAATCAAGTGGCAGGTTTTGATTCTCCAGATAGAGTTTTGTTTTTTAAAGTATTGTTTCTATTCATGATAAGTGATGAATTACAAATAAAGCCCTCAGCAGCAGAAGCAAGCCATTCTGTACTATCCAAGCTAGGACTAATGGATAGAATCAGTACCATTGGCTTTGAGGAGAGGGATTTTGAAATGGGTGTATCTGAGGTAACTTTTTCATTCTGATTATAAAGTCACTGGTTATTTTTAAGTTATCAACATCAGAATGCCTTGTCAAGGCAGCATTCCCTTGACCTAAAGAGTACAAAATTACATTAACTATTATTATGGATTTTGATGGGCTTATTATATTATATTATACTAAGTAGATATGGGCTTAATCAGCAAATGGGCCCATTGTAATTGCTTCGTTATTTTTTTTCGAGCTGTACATGTTTGGATGATTTGGGTGCCCTCAGAATTTTGTCTGTGCAATATTTTGCTCGTCTGTGTCTACTGATTACCCAACACCACAAGAAATTTAAAATTCCTGCTATTGAGTTAGGTAACCGACACAACTTAGCAAAAAGGCACATGGTTGTAATTTGGTAAGTTCATTAAGCTAACCTAGGTACAAAAATGACTTAATTTCCCCGAAACGGGGTCAAATTTTATTCTTTTTGGTGATTGGAGTTGTTCCGGCTATCTTACGTGCATATCAAGTAATTCCTCTAAGTTTTAAAGTTGACGATAAAGTAATCACTTCAATGTTCACCCCTATTAGTGACTGTGAAAACTCGAACTCATTAGCTCTTGAAACCTTTTTTTGTTTTTTTATTATTAGACCACCCAATAGTGGTTACGGGGATAAGTAATATTGTAATATTATAAACAAAACACATTAACTTGGTCATTTATATAGTATTTGAGTGATTGCAATTGCTATTTGAACTTATTTGTAATCTGACTGTGTGGCTTGAGGTCCATAAGATGGGACTCTGTGCACTGTGACACGATCTCATGAGAATACAAGGTTCATAAGGATGATTTTATAAATTAAGTAGACGTAAGTCTAATAATAAAATCATTTATGTCAAGCTCAACAGTACATCCATGCAAACAAGGTGCACTTTCCAAACTGTGATGCAAGGCTCATAGGGTGCATTTTCGATAATGTGATATGCCACAACCTCATGAGAACTCAGAGGTCCATAAGATAAGTTTTCTAATGGAGATGCGTTGTGGGTAAATGACACTTGGGTATAATCTCAAACAAAATTATATAAGTTTTTTTTTTTTTTTGATGACTTGGGTATTTGGGTCAGTTTGTGTACAACTTAACTAATTTTTCAGACCTTAGAACTATTGACTGGTAAGAGCTATATTAACAATTATAAGGACTCAAACTCAAAAGATCATGTTAGATCATACTCTTGAAACCCAAAATTAAATTTGTACAAGCTCTAAAACAAATCCATACAAATTGGACACAAATTCACCCATTATTCCAAGATAAATTAAAAGTCAGGTAAATTATAGGACTGCTGATTTCTTCTCCATCAAGAAATTCCTTTCCCAAAGATTGCTAAAGATGATGGGTCTACACAGTGATGCACCTTTAACTTACTTTACTGTCTCTATAACTGCTTTTCTACTTGTTTTTCTCTTCGCTCTCCGACCTTTCCTAAGTCCTTCATTATACTTCTCAAGCAACACTAGCTGCATTTGGCGATCATCAGGTACCCATACGTAACTTTATCATAAATCATCACTTCTTATATAATGTTGGGTTCTTGAGCTAGCCAATTTATGAGTTTTGATCTGTAGAGACTTTTCTATTAGTTATTTAATCTTCTTCAATTATATGTGCTTGGAATGATTTAACTGTTATTTCAACCCCCACAAAGCTATAACATTGAAGATTGGAGTGATTTCAATGGGATTAATTTCAAGGGTTTAGTTCCAGAATTCCAGTTATAATTACCAATTCTTTTCTCAGTATATTTAATTTTTACAATGCATAAATATTTCCTGTGGACAACAGCTTAATTTGGATCAAAGTCTTTAAATTAAGTTATCATTTTACTTCATGAAAATGGGTATATTCTCGAAACAATTAAGTTCCAGTATGTGATAAACAAATTTAACTTGCAAAAGGCTGAAATTCCAAACATATCAGCGTGCATGTTTCAGTGGAAATGGAACGTTTTACAATTATTTAAGTGAATGGAAAAGGCTTCAAACAGATACAAAAATCATTGATTAACTTTTTTTCTGGCTTGTAGGTTGGGTATTTGAAACGGAGAAAGAAGAGAAAACATATAATCAATGGGTGAAGAACATGTCAAACCTATTAGCTTGAAGGCCTTGGTGGACAAGGAGAGCAAAAAAGTTATCTTTGCTGAATCAGATGAGGAATTTATTGATGTCCTCTTCAGTTTCTTGACGATGCCGATGGGAACAATCATCAGGCTCATCCGTAATCGACCTCCAACTGTGGGGATAGGCTGCATGAACAATTTATATGAATGCATTGAGAATCTTGATGTGCAATTATTCAGGACTGAAGCATGCAAGAAAATGTTGTTATACCCCAGAAATGCTGCTGCAGATCAGTGCAGGAGACTAAAATTGAATGTTGATGAGACTGAGCCGCTGAGGTACTTTCTTGGCCCTGGTGATTGCCCTCATTTAAGTCACTATGGAGATGTTATTTGTCCCTGTGGAGAGTGCATAAATTTTGAGATGTTTCTACCGGGAAAAAAATATTTTGCTCAAGATAGAGGGGTGTTTGTTAAAGAAATGACCCGACTTATGATAAGTGATGAGTTACGAGTAATGCCCCCATCAACTGAAGAATGCCTTTCTCTACTCTTCAATCTAGGACTAACCGATGGAAGCACCACCGAGGAGTGCAATCTTGACATAGGAGTAGATGAGGTAACTAGTGATTTTCAATCATGATTTGACGTAATGCCATTAGATAGTAGATTATTGACTAGATGTAATCTTCAGGTTTTGACTTTGCTCAAGATGTCACTGGTATCAAAGACACCTTTGACAGAAACTTTTTTGAAGCACAATCCAACACCTGAGTTAGACCAAAAATAT